AGTTTGTATGGGAGGAAAAAGATCAAATTTTAGTAATAAAAAAAAAGCTTTGTATTCAAATCTGATTTTGTGCACTTTTAAATGTCACCAAATTACCTTGGATTTATTTTTTTTGTCCCAAATATTCCTCTTCTGGCAAAAAATTTAAGTAAAAAAACAAAACAAAGGACACCTAATTATATAATCCTTTAGTTGGTTTTTTTTGTAACTGCAAAAATGTGACTGTGTTTTCCTATCTCATTTACTTATATAAATATATTTATATTTCACTCTTTCTTTTGTAGCTTCAGGTTAAGACAAGTAAAGCCATTAGTTTTTAAATGAATTAAGTTCTTAAGCCTTTTGTCTGCAGAATGCAGTCATTTATGGAAAATGCTGCCAATTCACCAGCTTTGCTGTTTCACCGATGGATGCTTAAAACTCACCTGCTTATCCAAACAGACAAAAGTAACTTTTAAAAAAAACTTTACGAGTACCTCCTTTCCGTCACCACAAGCATGTTGTTTAAAATTGTCACTTCAAGGACGGATGAAGGAATAACTTTTATTGGCAAAATGTAGTTAATATGATGACTATACATATTGTCACATTTAGCAGCGTGTTTGCTCAAGCTAACCTACATTATTAGTCATTAATTCAGGAAAAAAATGTAAATTATAATCATCTAATTTGACGTTTTTGTTTTAGATACATTTTTTTAGGCATCTACATTTTTGATGTATGCAAAAAATGGATTAAAATAATAAATAAAATCAGTGATTCTCATTTTCAAGGGGACCAACTCTCTACTTCAGTACGATATGTTTTACATACTCCCACTGTGTAGTGATGAAACAGTGCCATGTGTAAACGGCACAAACATCTGAAATAGTCAACCAACCTGAGGACCTGCTGTGTTGACACTTTCTGTTTTTTATTATAAGGTCAGTTTATTTGTGGCCGAGGCTATATTTTTATTATGTCAATTCATATGAGTTTCTTCACATCCACACAGTATATTCACTCTGGCACAGGCAGCATCCTGTTATTCTGTCAACAAAACAAAAGAATATATGAAGAGATAAATCTTCGAATAACATACTGCTGATTCAAAGGTTCTCCAACTCTATTTTACTCTGTACTGCAGCTGCCATCACTCATTTAACAGTCTCACTCAGTATGCCTTCCCCGCAATGCCTGAGCGTGGCCCTGGATGTTTTCCTCTGCACAACATTATCGAAACAAAAAGATTTTTAAAATATACTGTTTTAGTAAAGTCAATGTCCAATTAACAGAAACACTTGATTCAAAAACAAACAAAAAATCTGTGTACTAAACTTGGCTTTTATTAAATTGCACATTCATTTTCTTGTTGAGTGTTTATTTAAACTCCTAATTATTGACAAGAATCCAAATAAGTTTACTGCACTGAAGTTGTAAAGAAACTACAACTATATTGCGCCTTAAAGTTGTCTGACTCTTTGATGGGGATTGTTATTAGATTGGATCAGCCTGGATGAGTTTTGTTTAACCGTAAAATTGTTATTCTTCAAGCATACAGTTGAGGTTTTGAACACTATTTTGCAGTTTCTGCAATGAAATCAGAACGAACCACAAGTTTTAACATGGATTTGTCAAGAGAATCATAATAGTATTTTTCTATTCTTCAGTTTCTTGATTGAATCTAAAATAATAATACTAATTAGAACTGTGGGGAATTTTCAACCAAAACAATATGTTGGAAATTGAGCTGCTGTCTTTCGTTACAGAAACAGAGACTGCAGTGTGTTACTGTTCTCAAAGAATGTCGAGCACAAATCATTGTGCAAGTCTTTTTGAAAAACCTACAATATATTCTCGTGTGTTCTGCTTTTACTTAATTACAGATTCTAAAGCAGACGTGGGCAATATATGGCACTAGGGCCAAAAGTGGGCAATCTCCATCCGGCCCCCAATATTCCTAACTGAAAAAATTACTTTTAAATATGTTGCTAAAAACCTGCATTTTATCAATGAACCTTAAGGAAATTTAAATTAAATTTCTTGGAAAAAGTACATTGAAAACGTTTGGATTAAGTTAGTCTAAAACCTTTTTTTAACTCGTGTTTCCAGAACTAGCCTGAACAGTAAAAACTAAAATTACACGTAACTTTTTTGTTGCATATTTAGGCCAACAAATATATTGTCACAAGAGCCAGTTTACAGAAAGTATGTCTTATTCCTAAAGAGTTTGGATAGACATGTTTAAGTATGCTAACTAACTATGCTGCAGGAAAACTTGCGGCCCTTAGATTGCTTGAAATATCTTGATTTGGCCCTCTGAGGAAAAATTTTGCCCATCCCTGTTGTAAAGTATTATGCATCCCTTTTCAGGAGTGATTTGAGTCAGTTCTATTTTATGTAATTATTCACGTCTTCACTATGCACAGCTCTTTGTGCTTTATGAGATACAATTTGACACATTTGTATTTTTCTACATATTTACAGTAAGTACCTTCGCTTTATGATGTGTACTTCTCATGGAGAGACCTGTTGTACAAAGCAGCGTTAACAACTTGGTTACTTCAAGTTCAGCTCAGGTTTTCAGTCACAAATCAGGTTCATGTCTAAATGGGGTGTACCATGATGGCAAATTGTTCTGGAAAACTTACCTCTTCTGTAGCAGCTTCGATTTTTACACAAGACACAATCACTGCCTTCTGACAAATGAGGTGCATTTTTATTTATCACAAAAGGCATTTACAAAATGAATATTGCGTCTAATCATCGAAAAACCAAGATCTGTTCAGTGGTCTCAGCAATACACCTACAATACATCAATTTAACAAAACTCACAACTATAAAATTACATATCTACTTATGCTTTGATGATTTTGGAACTAGCCTTGATCAACTACGTTTATCACGTCTGTTATCAGAGTTTTGTCAGTTTTCCTTTTTGTAACATTTGTTTTGCTTCAACTCAGATAGACATATACTGTAGTCCCTCGTTTATTGCGGGGGATCCTTACCCTGAAGACCCACGAAAAGTGAAAAACCGCAAAGTAGGAATAGTAGTACAAGTAGTTTTAGTATTTAAACCCTTCCCACACTCTTGTAATATTCTAAACAATGTTTCTAAACACTAAACGCTCTAAAAGAGCACAGAATGTCATGAAATCTGCTCTCTGCCTCCGGATGTTCTCTGCCAGTGCTCTCGGCCACGCCCACTTCTCCGCTGCAGAACGGACATATGACACTCTGCAGGAGGAAGCTTCTCCTGCAGCTATGGGCTGGACACAGGTGCAGCAGGTGCTAAATAATATAAAATAATTTATGTTAAATAAAAATTACATGCCGATCGTGAGGCTTATCCATCAATCAGCCAATTGTGTGTCATGTCAGAGTCAGAGTCAGAGTCAGAGTTTCTTTATTGTCATTCGCACCTCATGTGGTACATGTGGTGGAGCGAAATTATGTACACGGGGTCCCAGTTACATCCAACAATAAAATGTCTAAGAAAAACAGTAATAACATTTTATTATCAGTCCAATGTCCAATCTTACTTTAAAAAACTGCAAAGTAGCAAGTTTGCAAAAAATGTACCGCAAAGTAGTGAGGGACTACTGTAATAGTTCTCACAAGAATTTATAATCACAGTTCGTTTTTGTTAAAAATATGACATTAGACTCATGGTGGAAGTAGGGTCTGGTACTAACTGACCTTCCTACATAAACATGTACACTTTTAAACCACTTAAGTTTTTTTTAACCATTGTTTTGTATGGGTCAGTTTGTGGTTTTTCATAGAGAAACAATAGAATCTTCTTGGTAGGACAAGCCTCAGTATCATGATTGAAGAAACAGTGTCAAAGGAGTAAAAAGCTAAAACATCTCATCAACACAAGGAGGGTTCCTGTGTCAGCTCTGGATCAAAATCCTTTTGTTTGTTGATTTCTAAGAACCAGAAAACTGGGAATAAATAGCAGACAAGAATAGCATCCATTTCAGTGAACCAACTCAGGTTAAAATAAATGATTTGAAATTCAAATTTTAATATATCCTTTCATCAGTTATTTGTCTTTAAGTTCATAATTTTCATTCTGAAGATGAGGATTATAAGGTTATTGAGAAGGACCCAACAGGCCAGAGGTAAAATGGGAGCAGTAAACCACAGAATACGGAGTAAGAGGGAATAAATCAGATGGGAAATGTTTCCTTTTGCACAGATTTCTCCTCTTTTCTGACAGTATCTGGAAGACTACAGAAACTTATTCTTTTTCTTTCATTAGTCTTCCATCATCGAGTCTGAAACACTAAGCCCCAGTCAGTTATTGTGCAACACATGAGATATTCTGTAATTCCTAATTTTAGGCTTGTGTCTTCTAGTCAAAGCTCAGCCAGTTTAGTTTGTTAAAGCACAGAAAATGCCTTAATAAAAAATAGCTTTAAACTACTGATTATTTTCACTGCTTTTGGGTATGCTTTGAAATATTTGGTACAGAGCAAGAACTGGCTGCATATTTGAAAATGATATGTTGAGCAGTGTTTATTGGGCTTTCAAAGCGCTCTGCATTATCATTCATAACTGGGTTATAGTTTTTCAAAAGCCTCTTCTGCTTTTTGCATGTTGATGTTTAAAATAATGCCATCTTTCTGTTGGAAGCAGAGAATATTCTTAAAGCTGTGTCAAAGGGAAAGAAAAAATAGAGCCACATGAATAGTTTCTAATTATCTAAATAAGTAGTAGAGAAAAAAAACTAGATCGGGTTTGAATAAATATTAATGTAGAACTGTGATATTTGTGTGCAAAGTGACAGAGTTCACCTCAGTAATTCAATAAGCTTCCAAATGATACGCCACTCAAAAAGCAAGCATGAGTCTAATTAAATGCAGGCAAAGACTGCATGTCATCATTTTTTGTCATCTGTCATAAATCTTTTTGTGCATGACTTTTAGAGTACTTGGTCTAAAAGCAGCTTGATATAATGATTCAAATGGACTCACAGAATGCAATGTATGTACAATTTTTGTGGTTCTCAGAACATTCTGAACAAACTGAACTCGTCGGGAATTGAAGATCTGGATGATAATGACCTCATGCTGGATGAAGATCCTTTTGACGACAGCTTACACGGTCCGCACACACACAAACACAGCTCTTCTTATGCCTCATATTTTTTGTGAGGGGTTAAAGATTTGTGAGGTCATTATTAGGCCATGACTTATGTTTTGTGGATACCTCCAGCAAAACTCTCTTTTATACATGTAAATGAGTACATTACCAACGTCTGAGCTTCCTGTTCCCAGCAGAATCCTTCTGGTTGATATAAAGGTTTGAATAAATTGGATCTTGCTTTGCCTTGGGTGGATATTTCCCTCTGCAACATCCATTAAATTTGTTTAATGGATGCCTTGTTGTGTATTATGTTCTGCCATTTTTTTAGTATATGGTTGGTGATGATGTATTAAATTGAAACTTCAGTCTTTTAATATGTGTTTTTCAGTGAGCTTAGATCCATCCAGCTGTCTGAGTCTGTTTACATGAACAGATGTGCACAGATGTGCATGTTTGACAAGTATGGCTGCAAGGCAAAGTTTGTTTGTATATGAGCAGCTTCAGCATTTGTTCCCCTTGACAACAGCAGTTTGGTATTGGTGGTAATGGCCCAGTAAGATTCACACATCTCAACACTCACCTCAAGTTTGATGCTAAGTTTGTCAAAGTTTTACAAGTTTTCATCACACATTTTTACTTGCCATATGAATTCAATCTCATTAAAAGCAAGTAAAATTGCTTTTTTTTGTACGTGTTAAAGGTAATCAGGTCACGTTATTACCTCATAATAATAGTGTTGACACCATTAAGGCGCCATCAGTTTGTTTGGCATTTTGTTCTCCAGTAGAGGAGAAAAGGGGTTGAGGACTGACCTCTCTTGTCACAAAATATAATGAATTCTTGGAAGTGAATTTTTCCTTTGTCAGTCTTAAAGCCAGAACTATCATGGAACATTTCATCGCTAATGGATTTAATGCTGTAGTTTTCTCTGAATGATTCTGACAGGCTTAGTTTGTACAAACAAGACTCCCTTCAGCTCCATAAAACTCATTATAGGAAGCATGTGTACATGCTGTCATGTGTATAATAAAGCATATAAAGGAGCATTAGCTCACAGATGCACAAACACGAAAAACAGTTGTCAGTTATTAGATAGACTTGGCTAAAACAACTTGGTGTAATGTCACAGCTTTACATTTTAAGCCTTTCCTTATAAAATTGCTGTAATTCTTTATTAATACTGTTTTTAGTATTTTACATCGCTTTATAATGTAGCTGTTGTTTCATTTTTTAAATATATGTTCTTCCATTTACTTTAGATTTGATATGCTTTTATATGATTGTCTGTTGTTATCTGTGCTCTTTGTTTAAATCAGGTATCTCTTGTAAAAGAGTCCTCGAGGCTCAATGAGACTAACCTGTAGTTTTTTTTTTTTGACTAATCTGTATTAATAAAGGTTGAATGAATTAATCCATAATATTTTTTTAGAAGGCAACTAATGGCACTAAGGAACAGGGGCTAATTATGTATGTTTTGTATCATATGACTGTGTTTCACAGATCATAATTCATACATCTGAAGACCTGTTTTAAAGACGTTGCTTTAAATGTAACAACTTTTTAAATTGTTAAATTTAGGTTTTAAAATTATTATTTTTCAAATCTAGGTTAAAGTTTGTTTTTCCTGTTTAATTTTTAAGTTTTTGTTACATATAACATTTGGGCACACTTTTGTTACCACCTAAAAGAACTGCAGCTTATCGTACTTGACATTGACAGCAGTTTGTCAAGTCTTTCTTTTTTTGTAGTTTCTTTGATTTTCTTTCTTCTAAGTGTCCAACAAAACAGCCATCGACACTCTCATTCAGACCTAGAGACAATTTAGAGTTGCATGTTTTTGGTCTGTGGGAGGAAACCGGGATACCTAGAGAAAACCTACGCTTGCATGGAGAGAACATGCAGATGCCACTCAGAAAGGTCCCTGGCTGGGATTGGATCAGGCCTTCTTGCTGAGAGGCAACAGCTCTACCAACTGAGCCCCTGACCGTAACATGTTAATGATAAGTGTCATTAATTGGTTACAATTTGAATTTACTGATGCATGCTCAATTTGAATTATTTTCTTATTTTGAAAGAACAACTCGAAAATGACCAGGAAGTGAACAACTTTTGAAAATGCCTTCAACAGAAACTATCGCAAGCTAAAATGACTATATCTAATGAACTTACATTATCTTACGGTGCTTGGAGACATTGATTTTGTTCCTTAGAAAAGGAGGCGGCGATCAACAGGGAAATGCTCACTCCAGAGGAATGTGAATTAGTGCGCCGTCCCTTCCTACTCCTTTTCGGGTGGTGGCCATATTTATAGCTCTCTATGTCACGGGTAGAGTTCATGTCATGAGAGGCAAATGGAAGAGTCCAGTTAGAGTCCTGCCCACAGGGCAGGACTTGAAATGTAGCATGAGGAACAGTGTTTCTCCCAAATACACTCCAACTTTGCCACTAAACTGAAAAAGTGAAAAGAAAGAGAAGTGTTAAAAGGGACTCGTGTTTTTATCCAGCTGTCAGCTCCTATGAATGGAGAGAGGCCACAGATTCCCTTTCTCAGTTGGTAACTTCCTCAGCTTGGACACAAACCAGTCAACTCACTCTTTCTCACTAGCAAACCACAGTCCTCTCTCCAGCTCTAGTTCACTGGGAGTTCCCAGAAAAACAAGGCTGTCAACGTAGACAGGGCCGGGCAGGCTGCTAACTGGGCTGACTTTTTTCCTGGCCCTTTAACACATCATCAGCTGACAAGGAGTCATTTTTCTCCAGTTTTCGTTTGAGTTTATCTGCATTTATGGACTTTTCTCGAGTTGGAATATATTCAATTTGTACTTTTTTAGAAGAGTTTTTCTAAGCTAGAAAAAACAACATCTCACTGGGGGCACTTAAGTTTTCAGGAATGTAACAGCCTCGTATGCAAAACAGGCTGTCTGTTCGTAAACAGACTGTCTGCTCCTCTGCTGTGTGGTAACTCTCAGGGTAAAGTATTTTCACCCGCACTGCGTCGGATTGGATTCATATTTTCTCAGTCTTTATCTGCTTTCCCCCCTGTTTTTAGTCTAAGTATCTGAGTATGTCACATTTAGAAAGTCAAGTGCTCTTTTATTTCCTAGAGATCGCACTCTGTTAGTCGTCAGTTTTCCTGCAGTCATGGTTCATTTCACAGCTGTGTGCCACTGAGTGTTTCTAAATACCGTGTCTCCTTACAGCATTGTGCGAAAATGAAATGATCTGTCTCTGTGAGCAAATGTTTCCATTTGCTGGTGGCAACATTTGAAAGACACAAAATAAGATAATCATAAGATAAGATAAGATCATGTTTGTAGTGAAGGGGTTTGTTTACTGCAAGTTTAACCTTTGCATTTATACGTGCACGTTTGTCATACAAATCTTGTAAAATGCAGTAACAGAAAACTTGAGCTTTTTTCCACGTAACTTTCATCATGCTTAACCACAAAAACAACATTATTGCTATGGATCTTGTACACATTTGTGTTTTTTTTTTCTCTCTCACTGCTTCTGTTTTCTGTACATTCTTCACGTAGTCTCACTGTTGCTCTAAATTTTCTTAATGTAGACTTGGAAAGAATGTCTCACACTGAGCGACCCGAACGAGCCAATCGGCAGGGGCAGCGTCGTAAACAACACCGCTGGACTGGTCCAGATCACTTTCACAGCGATGGCAGGTTGGTCAAATTAAGAAGTTTAACGGTATTCGTTCAACCTTTATTTATACAGGTTAGTCTCACTGAGTCACAAGGACTCATTTTCAAGTGAGACCTCTTTTAAACTAAAACCACAGACCCACAATAAACATTCATATAAAATCATATACAATAAAAAGTAAATCAAATAAGTGATATAAAGCAAAATAAAAAAAAACATGCTACGTTATAAAACAGTGTAAGATACTAAAAACAGGAACATGTCTGCATTGATTTTTGCATTGAACTTAATTGTTTAAAATCCCTTAGAGAGGTCAAGGTCGACAACTTCAGATCTTTTTGCAAGATATTCCAGGAAACAGGAGCAGAGTAGGAGAAGGCCTTTTTGCCTAGTTCAGTCCGCACTGAAGGAACACCGCATGTAATAATGTCCTGAGAGTGCACGCTGTAGCTGCACTCACGCAGTGACATGTAGGAGGAGATACAGTATATGAAGACAGCAGATCAAGGAGTGATGTAAAAATGAAAATGTACCAGTGTGAGAGTCTGCGTGAAGTTAATGATGACTAATTGACCAGTGAATACAGGGTGCAATGATGAGTATGGTAATTACAGCCAGTTTTGAATCTTAGTGCATCATGGTAGACAGCAGCCAACATCTGCAGAGTGCTTGCAGGAGCGTTCATGTAAATAATGTCACCATAGTCAATGGAGGGAAGGAAAGTTGCAGCTACAAGGTGTTTCCTAGCATTCAGAGTTAGACAGGATCTATTTCTGAAAAAGAAACCCAGTTTTACTTTCAATTTCTTTACCAAGTTTTTGACGTGAGGCTTCAAAGAAAGATGTGCTTCAACAATTCACAAGTATTTCTAAGAATTGACAAACTCAATAGGAACACCATTCATAGATAAGATAGAAGGAAGGACTGCTGGTACTGACTTCCTGTTTGAAAACAACTTCTTTTTGATTTTATCTGCATTTAGCACCAGTTTGAGACCGAACAAATCTGACTGGATGATGTTGAATGCAGAATAAAGCTGGAAAACCTTAGCAACTGTCTTAGCTCAGCAATAAACAACTGTGTCGTCGGCATAGAAATGTAAGAATACATCAGGAATGATCAGACCTACAATACTTATGTAGATTGTGAAGAGGGTGGGCCCTAAGTGAACCTTGTGGTACACCATTTTTGACAATTAAATAGCTGGAAGAAGTGCCATTATGTTGAACACATTGTCTATGTATAGTATGCTAAAAGTAAATGAAAAGCAAGAAGAAAAAAAACAACAAAAGTTTGGATTTTCTTCTCAGGGTCCATGTCTTCCAAAATTATGATGGCTTCAAGGGTTCAAAAGCCTCTTCACGGTTTGTCCAGACTGAAGGCAGGCAGCGCGGCAACACACCAATGCTGGATGGAGTCACACTCGAACACATGACCCAGGACTGCAGCTTGCTCAAGAATCACCTGCTCAGGCTCAAAACGTTACTAGAGGTTTGACCTGCATTTTCAGAGAGATGTGAATCCTTACAAATCTGTATTTTTGCAACACCTAGAATTTGTTTACATTCAGAATGCTTAAAAACCTCAGTGTCCTTGTCTCAACTCAATCCATAACTGAAAATTATCCTAAATGGCCTGCCTTGATTTGACTGCAATAGTATAGGTATTGATCTTTGGGTTTACCTTTGAAACAAAGTCTTTTTCCAGCCTCAATTCCTAATTGTCTGTTTTCATTGAAAAACCAAGCCAACAAATAAAACAACTAAAACCCAGCGCTGAGCTCAAAACATCAAATGTAAAACAAGCATCCTCTTGTTGAATTCTAAATGTATTTTGCTTCACTTGGATGCAGCTTTAATGAGCATCAGGTGGAATGTGGTAGTGAACTAAATATTTAGTTCTTTGTCATATGAGAAACAAAATCATAGAAAATTGATACTTTTTTGTGACTCCTAGAATCGTTAAATATAACAGCAGTTTGTTCTTTGAACAGACGTGCCCAGCATTTGGTGGGACATTATTATATTTTTAAAAATTTTCTTTGACTTTCATCTAATTGTGACAAAAGCACAGACTGCAATTAGGGTATAAATACACACAAAGATAAAAGATAAGAGAAAATATTTTTGAATAGTGCTTCTTTGCACTGAGGTAGGGACATGGTTTGAATTCAGTAAAATAAATATATAGGTTTCTCAATCATATACTTCGCCTCTGGTATGTGGTCCTAGTGGCTGGTCATTCAGGGTCACTGCAGCATATGTGCATAAGAGTAAAAAAAAGAAAAATCACTGTAGTGAAATATTGCTTTTGAGGCACGCCTAAGGCAATTGATTCAGCTTACTTTGTACTCTGCATGTTTGTGTGCCCCCTTCTGAGCGTGTGTGTTTATGTTTCAAGCTCGAGGAAACAGACTCTCCAACAGATGTTTCTGAGCAGTCTGAAGACGATACCACTGTGTTACAGGTAAGAAGTTTTCCTCTGGGTTTGGATGGACATGGTGTATACATCTAAACATTATACAATGTAGCTACCCTCCTGAGGTTGTCTCTTGTTAGTTCCAAACACTTGGTGTGTGTGTTCAGATGGAGAAGCTGATTAAGGAAGTGGAGGGACTCCGAGAGGAGCTGAAGAGTCGAGACAAGACTATTGCTCAGCTCACATTACAGTGTCAACAGCTACAACAACAACATCCGCAGGAACAACTAGTAAGTTTGTAAGAACAGGACTGACACAAGTGAAAATCTGAAAAACTGGACTTCATAATACACTAGACAATGTTTCTGTTAGACCTCAGTCTGTCTCTCTGACTTTGGTTTTGGATAGAGAGAACTTATGGTCAGAATTTGTCTTTTTTTTAAGGAAGATTCACCTTTTTATAAGCAATACATTTTCTAATCCCCAAAAAGTCTGATTTAAACCTGCTTGTCTGGCGTTAATCACTGTATCCCATTCAAATTATTTGGCACATTGTGAAATAATTTGAAGCTTATGTCAATTGTTTCATCCAACTAACTGTTTTGTCTAATGAAGCGGTATGGCAACGCAATACTTGACATTGTTTTTCACAACTTGTTTCAATCGAAATACTATAAACATGATCATGTACTGTAAATATATTGTAAAGATGTAAATATAGATCGTGAATGGTACCTGTGGGTTTTGCTCACGAGTAACGTTAGGACTGAGCAGGAAATGTACCGACCGTTTGGGGCCTCGCCCACAATAATGAGGGCATTGCTCTGGTCTGCCATGACTATGTTTCTGCGCATCCCTGTGGTCATAAGATATGGAGCCTGACTAAAAGAACAAGATCCTGAATAAAAGCAGCTGAAAAAACTTCCTCTATAAAGTGGCTGTGCTCTGCCTTAGGGGTAAGGTGAGGAGCTCGGTCATCCAGTGGGAACTCATGAGCAGCTGCACTGCTGCGTCAAAAAGAGTCAGCTGAGGTGGTTTTTAACATGATTAAGATGCCTCCTGAACACCTCTTACCTATGGGGGGTTTCTATGCACATCTTACTGGATCCCAGGGGCAGACCCAGAAGTTGCTAGAAGGATCTTGTATTTTCTTTGGCCTGAGAGTGCACAGGGTGCCTCAAGGAGGAACTGGAGAGTGTCTCTGGGGAGAAGGATATTTGGGTTTTCATCCTGATTCTGTTGCCTTTGCAACTCAACCATGAACATGAGGCAGCAAATAGATGAATGCATGCCGATGTAAAAAAAGCTAAATGATAAGGAAGAACAGTGTAAAGGTAATGGATGGGTGGATAAATTTGCAACTTTCTTTCAAAAGACATTTTGGATTTATCAGTGAGGCTCAATGTAGTGAACCACTAGTTTTTGTGTTTTCTTTAAAGTGTAACAAATGATTCTCTCATCCCTTCAATCATTGACTTTAAAGGAAAAAGTGGGAAAAAAATCATAAAAAAAACTGAGGAAATGCTTCTCTAAGAAAGACAAACATTTGGATTCATGCACAGAAAAGAAAGAACATCAGTGGCACTGGAGGCAGATTGACACAAACTATTTTTTTTCCGTCATGAAATATTAAACAAGCAGCACCATTGTAGGAAATATAGGGTTGTCTTTATGATAACATGCACTTATGTCCCACATTTCAGAAACATTCTAGTTGAATGATTCTCAAACTATCATTAAAACTAAATGGAAAAAATGTAAATGACCAAGGTCCATACACTGTAAATGTCAGAGGAACATGAAGAATATCAATACACCATCACCTGCTTTCATGTAGCTCTTGTGTGCTGAAAGTCTTTAGCTTCTCTTTCAATAGTTCACGTCCTTGATGAAAGTTCTTTCTGCAGATCTGTTTCAGTTAAGAATATCTGGACAGAGAAAATGCTTTCATTTCTTTGCAGTTTACACCAGTTCCACCTTGGTTATTTGTTACAAATCAAGGGTGGAAAGACAAAAACAATGTGATTGTGTCATGCAGAGTGACAAGCTCACTGCTTAGCCTCCTAATAGTAAAGACACAGACTGTAATGCTGTTTGCGTGTGAGAATTTATCTGATGGGTGTTTTCATTTACTTCTACAGGCACTGTTAGTTCTGCCTGCAAACAATGTCCATTCTGTTTGGGTTTGGTCAGCTCCATCTCCACTCTAACATTCATTAGTGTTTCCTTGTTAGCAAAAAAATCATGTCTTACTGACATTATTTAAATCTCTACTATACTAAGAAATACCAAAGTGTCAAAGAAAGGCCTGTACACCAGCTTGTCTACAACATACTATCCATCCAATTAGAATTAACATCCACTCTTAGCTGGTCCTTGAGACGCCACGATATTGCTGCACCCTTAACACCCAACAAGCTGAGAACAGGAACAAAAATACAAGGCATGTTTTCAGATCTGCGGCCGGCTTTAATGAGTGTAGAGGTTGTAAGAGCAAACGTGCAGGGAGATATCGAAAGGAAAATAAAATTCACGCTGCTGACTTTGGACTGAAGCTTCTTTTGGGAATCAGACTGAGACGATTTTCAAAGTTGTTTTGCTTTCTCTCCTGCTCTGTTGTTTTTGCAGTTGAGGACTAACAAAAAGGGGCAAAAACCAAATCAAAACAAAATAAGCCTAAAAAACACTTGGAAGTTAATTTAATGCACTAACCAAACCTACATTCTTGGCTGTGTAAAAATAGCAATTGCTTCAAAATAGGTAGTCTGTGAAAGGTGGTTCATGTTGTACCTCGAATTAGTCTGTTAAAGTCTTTTGGGGCTTTGTGTTTGTCTCTTAAATGGGTTTAGAGACAGTATTAAAGTCAGGTTACCAGATGGATGTGTTAGATACTGTTCAGAGAGTGAAGTTTGTAAAAGCTGATAGAATACAATAGTTAAAAAAACAAAACACAGGAGGTGTGTTTGGAAGAGAAATTGTGAATTTCAGACAACACTGTGTCTGTAGAGGGATAATAGTAGCTACATGACTGAGTGGCCACTGTTGGGGCACTGTCTTCAAATGATTAGGTAATAGGGTTTCTGACAACACAGGTTAGAATTTACTTTTCTAATCTGACTCTCATATATTATTCAGGCAATCTGCCAACTCTTCACTTTCTTAACATTAAAGTCCTAATCGACTCACAGTTCGAGATAGAATATCGGCATTCTACAAATTTCAGAATTATTCTTGAGACCTTTCAAAGTGATTTTAATGAAACTATCTTATTTTTACAGCCTTATTCAGCAGAGTCTTAACTAAAGACAAATATTAACACATGTATTATGTTTTGCATACTTGTTCTTGAAGCTATCTTTTAAGAAAAAAGCGTTTTTACCAGTGTTAAGCATTTTAAAAATATTGACACTTTTCCTTTTTATTGTTTGCATGCTTATTCTAGCTTCTACCATGCTCAGTAATGGCATAATGTTGGCATGTCAAATGTACGGATGGAGCAGGGGGGAAAACAATCAGAACAGTAATAATTATTGGTTTCAAAGGCTCGGAGAGAATCGGACTCCAAAATTAGATTCACAAGGACTGAGCCCAAGCCAAGAGGCAACAAACACTGTATATGGGTAATTTTTGATTCAGATTTTGATTTTAAAGCTTGTGTGCAGGATGTTTTAAAACCAAGTCTTTGCAACTTTAAACCCACGTCTAAAAGAAGCCAATTTCTGGCCAAACAAAACGATTCAGTGGATTTGATTTTGACATACATTCAAAATGACATTGATTTGGTAAGGTTGTGGCGTATTCATTTACATGTGTGGGGCGTCTGTGGCTGAGTGGTTAGAGCAGTTGTCCTCCAATGTGAGCATTGTGGGTTTGATTCCATTAACAGTCACATGCTGAAGTGTCCCTGGGCAAAACACTGAACCCCTCATTGCCTCTGATGTGTGTCCCATCAGTGTATGAATGTGATCTAAAGCACTGATTAGTCTCTACAGATTCAGATTAGCTTTGTAGAGATCTAGTAGAGTGCTGTATGAATGGGTAAATGAGGGCACAGATTGTAGTGTAAAGCGCTTTGAGTATCTTGATCAGATAGAAAGGCGCTATACAAGTACAGTACAGTCCATCTAGAAGTAACTTTGTTAAGATATTTTACTGATGATGGGTTTATGTTTAGCACACCTGTGGATAAGAAAAAGCCATAGTTCCTTAAAGAGTTTATCCTTTCATTCATTTTGTTTTCTTCTTCTTCTTCCCCTAGCCAGGTCCAGGACGCCAGGCCAGGTGTCAGTGCCACCACCAGAGGGCTCCCGCTTTGCTACGACAGAGTGACAGGCCAATAGACAAACGTATGCATCACTACGATAAAGCTACTCAGACATACTGGAGACCACCGAGCCATTCTGTAAGTCTGACATTTATTCCGTTTATTTCTGTCTTTATTTATTATGGTTTAAAACAAGATGCGTTACATGGAGTAAAATCTATTATTTTCTTTGGAGCAAGTGGTCGGGGGAGTCTGCTTCATTAATCCATGGATTAATTCAGAGGATTATTGTGTAGATACACTCACGTGGTGCAACCATTACAACTCCGTTTACAACGAGAGAGACTGCAAGCATATAATGTGTTGATCAGATCAGTACATTTTCTTTCATCCACCTCTGAAAAGACCTCAGAGGGTTACATCACTGTGGCACGTTCTCCACATACTGTAGAATACAATTTATTAGATCATCAATGTGTGTTCATCACCCTGCCCTCCACTATAATAACACCCTGATATCATTTAACTTTGGCTGCAATGTTTATATAGAAAGAAAGAGTGAGATATTTGTAGTTTTAATGAAGAAAAGAAGTGCAAGAAGAAAGAAGCATGGAAAATTGATATTCACATGCTCTGGGTTTGCATTACTCCAACAGGATGCAGTGTTGTAGCCACTTATTGATTCTATAGTAGAAATGCCACAGGCAGCAGGCTTAGTGAACAATCACCTAATAGACCTGCACTTTGCTAAAAGTTTCACCAACAAAATGCAGGCCTATGTGCTTTTACGATAAAAAACAGATAAGTAATTCAACAAACATGTATCAGCTTAACTGTCTATGTAATTGAATTATAAATATATTAATACGTAATATTCTCTTTAATAGGCAAACATATAATTTTATCTATTACACTTAGACAACTGGTAAAAATCAATAGACAAAACGAGCCTGGTGACCGTGGATCTTATGTGCCATAAGAGCACACGGTTTAAAAGTTGCTATAGCAACCAACAAAGCAGAGCTGTGCTTGACGGGAATCATTTCCATGGAGGGAACATCTACCTCTGACCTGTTGTACCTGGTGTGTATTTACACACTAAAGCACAAGTTGCATTCAACATTTTTTTATTTTTTAGAGCTTGCTACCGCTCCAAAAAAGGAGCAACGTGAGCATTTTGACAAGTAGAAAAGAGAATACTAAATGAACAAGCAGACAGAAACCATCATTGCGTTCTCAGACATTTCTACCTGAGGTTGTATCAGTGATCTTAGTGTTGCACATGCACCCTCATCAAGCTTGACTTTAGTATTCTATGTAAAATGTATCCCACTTATATTCTTTACACACGTTTTTCCTGCACAATTTTGGATGAATAGTTGCAAATTAACCTATATTTTTCTAATTCCTTTGTTTGTTTGTTTTTCAGTCATTTGTGATAACGATCCTGCACTTTGATATTATGATAATAGACTTTATTTTCAATGTATTGTGCAACTGTAAAATAAAAATAAATATATATAGTTTTCCTTCCACTTTAAATCACCTTGTACGTTTTATTTTCTTCTATTTTTATTTAAAAAGCTGTTGCTTTATATTGTTGAATGCTGTGCAGAAAAGATAAGCCAAGATTAATTTTGCTGTCAAAGGCCAATAGCTATTATCTTTTTCTAGCTTTACAGTTTTTATATTTGCTTTATCAGTAGTTGACAGTGCTATAAACTAACCATAAGAGCATAACAAGATAATAGGCTGATAGCCCGTGAGCGTACTGCATCAGCGCATTTGTCGTCCTGGACAGTTCATGCAGCATCTTTAAACAGTCAATGTACAATAACCACCCATAACATTATGACCCTTTGCCAAATATTGAGATCGTGTCTCATGAGGGGTCATGGCAAGGACAAAAAACACCTAATGGTTCAAAATATCCTGATGCATGCTCAGTAATACAGGTAGAAAAATCCAAAGAAGTTAAGTCACGTCCTCTGGACGGTTTCCTTTTGTTGAAACGTTTCGTCTTTCATCCAAAAGACTTCAACGGTCCGAGGAGCCGCAACAAACTCAGTCTTATAATAGCACCTTCTTATAATGGGTCAACCAGTTTGATGGTGCTCCGATGGTTTCTGGAGTCCACCCTCTCCCCTCAGTAATCCTGCTAGAAAAATTAAACGTTTCAACAAAAGGAAACCATCTAGAGGACCTGACTTTTTTTTCATTCAACTTTTATTTAAACAGGTTAGTGTCATCGAGCCACGAGGACTCATTTACAACAGAGACCTGAATTTTAACAGAGTGATGACAACACTGGACAACAATGGACAATCACAATTCAATTAAATTCAATTCAATAATACTTTATTAATCCCAAAGGGAAATTATTTGTTGTTGTAACTTGTTATCCTCATTTCATTAAGAGATGTTATAGATACTGATGGCTGTAGACAGGAAGGATCTCTTGTAAAGGTCCATCCCACAGTGGATCCTAAGAAACTGGCTGCAGATGCCGTCCGATCCGATCAAAGGATGCGCACACATTTTTTTATTTATTATTATTATTATTAATTTTTTTTATAAATGAAAATAAAATGGTAATTAAAAGGATAATTAAAAGGAAAAGTAGCGAAAAAACAGCAAAATTACGAGGCAGTGTAGAATACTGAAAAGGCTTCTGGATTTTTCCACCTGGATTATTGTGCATGAATCGGTATAGTTTGAACCACTTTGGCCATGACTGCCCCAAACGAGTCGGCGGGGGAGAGGGTGGACTCCAGAAACCATCGGAGCACCATCAAATTGACCCATTATGAGAAGGTGCTATTATAAGACTGAGTTTGTTGCAGCTCCTCGGACTGTTAGGTCTTTTGGATGAAATACAAAACATTTCAACAAAAGAAACCGTCCAGAGGACCTGACTTAACTTTGTTGAACACCTAATGGTGTTTTAGGGCTTCCTTCGTCATATAAGCAAATTGATCACCTTTCTTTCTATTGGTTATAATGTTATGGCTAATTTGTATAATGAAGCCCTTCATTTCCATTACTTTTCCTTAGCTGCTAAAAGGTGGTGGTGGTCTGTATCCCTGAAGGCTACTGTAACCTATCTCCTTACGTTTCAGGCTGTTGAAAGGATTTGGCAGCAGATCCTATCCAACTGCTTCAGGCTACAGCTACTGCAGCTTCCTGTTTTAATCTGCTTACAATCCAATTTAGAGTCCAGCAGAATGCAAATAAATAAATAAATAATTGAAACAAACTACGATCTAACAATATAGAAAGAATTGCACGTTCACAGACAGAGTGCACACAATATCGGTCACGCTTGGCACTACGTGTCACATTAGAAACTACTTAAATGTCACTTGGAGGAAAATAATCTGTGTGAACGGTTCCCCAGAGGAAGCACAAAAAGCAGAAATGTTTACCCTGCCTTCTCTTTCTTTTTGCAGCAAATACAACCGGAGCGGTATCATTTTTGCTCATTTCAGATGTACCACAATAGGAAACCACACAGCTTTGTGTGCGTCTGTTTGAGGTTTTGCCACGTGTGTGAGCGTGAGAGCGGGATGTGGCACGTATATCTCTTGTGCTCGAGTGTGGAGCACAATCAGTCAGTGTGACTGAACAATGAGTTCAGCCGACTGAGGACTGGAGAGCCGACCCTGCTTAGAACCCAAATAAACAAACATGCAGATGAGCAGCCGCAGTGAAAACAAAGGCTACACAATAAGCAGTGTTACATCAGTGGCAGACAGAGAGGATAATTACAGCTCCCCTCCTACTCCCTCTTTGCCTCTTAAACATCCTCTTCTTCATCTCCTCTTTTCCTCTCACAGCTCTCTTCATGTCTTTTTTTATAGCTGCGGCTCTTTCTGTCTGCGTCGCTTGCTTCAGTGATTTTTCTCTTTCCTTGTTTATTTCCCTGCCTTTCTGTCTGAGATTGCCACACTTTCTGAATTCTTAACTTTATTGTAATTAAATCAATTTGCTGTCACTGTCAGTGGGAGGACGGTGGAGAACGATCAGTGAAGTTTTAGGTTCAAAGTTTTCTTTCTCAGATTCTAACCGCTATTTCTACACCCACATTTTCTGTATGCTCCCTTGCATCACAAACAAACAATCACAAACGCACACTTATTTATACACACGCATAGTCCGGGACAGGTGAGGATTTAATTGGCAAAGTCAGTGAAGTGAATCACTGTGACCAGACCCGAGTATTAGCTACAGCTTGCTACATAAAGCTTTGTGGAGTAGATTAGAGATTCCAGGCAAGGAGAGTGAGACTGAGTTAGGGGAACTGTGTTGTCAATAAAACACTGTTGTTACTTGGAAAAGATGGTTGTAGGACCACATAGAGCAACTTCTACTTGCCTTGTATATTTTCAGGTGTCACCATTTGCTCCGGGCACAACAAAAGCAGACCAGCATTTTCTCAGAGTAAGGGGCCTTAACATATTAATGTTAAAACATGGCTGACCATGCTGAATACTAATAAAAAGCTGAACTACTAATATTTTGAGGATTTACTAACATTTAAACATCGTCATCAATCATATTTGACAAAGTATAGACTACTTCTCACATTTTCTTTTAAATATTATTATTATTGATAATATCCATTTGTATCGTTTTAGATTCTCTTATAAACTTTTTAACGTTGTAAAATTAGTTTTTTAAAGACAAACTTATCCAATATTTGCATGGCATTTAAGCTGTTGCACCCAATTTGTAAAGGTGCAAACTCCCACCACTGAAGGAAGCAATAATGTTTTTGTCTGAGTCTCTGTGTGTGTGTGTGTGTGTGTGTGTGTGTGTGTGTGTGTGTGTGT